GTTGTGTTGTTGTTGTTGTTGTTGTTGTTGTTGTTGTTGTTGTTGTTGTTGTCGTAGTGGTGGTTGTTGTGGTGTTGTTTGCAGGCCCTGTTGTTGTTGTTGTTGTTGTTGTTGTCGTAGTGGTGGTTGTTGTGGTGTTGTTTGCAGGCCCCTGTTGTTGTTGTTGTTGTTGTTGTTGTTGTTGTTGTTGTTGTTGTTGTTGTTGTTGTTGTTGTTGTTGTTGTTGTTGTTGTTGTTGTTGTTGTTGTTGTTGTTGTTGTTGTTGTTGTTTTGGGTGGTGGCGGCGGCGTGATTGCTGCCGTAGTCGTAGTAGTAGTAGTCGTGGTGGTGGTGGTGGTGGTTGTTGGTGGTGTGAGTGTGGTGGTCGTCGTTGTTGTTGGTCCCATGTTGATGGTGACAGGAACGGCAACGAGGTTCATCTGGCCAAGGAACCCTTCATCGAACAGGCCCGGCGCACCGACATAGCCCGTGAAGATGACGTTCCCATACACGTCGACAGTCACGCCGTGTGCGACGTCGTCGTCGCCTGTCCCAAACTGCTCAACCCACTCCACCACGCCCTGCGGGCCAACAAGCCTGGCCAGAAAGTAGTCGCTGGCACCGCCATGCCACACGCCAGGCTCGATGCTCGCTTCCGTCTTGCCGGCGATGTAGACGTTGTCAGCGCCATCCACTGTCACGCCCCACGCCACATCGGCCTGTACCGTGCCGACGGAGCGATACCACATGGCTGAACCCGACATGCCATCAATCTTGATCACAAACGCGTCGCCTTTGCCGAGGTGCTGGTTGTTGGGCCATGTGTTGGTGGATGTACCACAGATGATGGCGTCGCCGACGCTGTCCACGACAATGTCGTGGGGTGTGTTTGATGCGGGGGCCCCAAACGTTTGGTACCACTTGAACACGCCGAGTGCGTCATAGCGGTAGACGCCGTTGAAGTAGGTGCTGCCCTGGTTGACTGCGACGAGGAACATGGGGTTGTCATCGGGGTCCAGGTCGATGGCCACGCCGTAATCGCCGCTCTGTCCGGTCTTCTGCTCCCAGAGCACCACGCCCTGCGGGCTGCACCTCACGAGGCGGATCGGCGTGGACGCGGAGGCGGTTGCGGTGCCGACGAAGAAGATGCTGCCGTCAGATGCGACGGCAACGCCGTTGACGCTTGTCTGTCCAAACGTCTTAGTCCACACGTGGGTGCCGGACGAGGAATACTTGATGAGGGCCGCGAGCCCAGATGCGAGCTGGCAGGCGATGATGGGGTTGCCCAGGCGGTCAACGGTGATGTCGAAGGGCCGATCTGGGTCGGCGGTGCCAACCTGCACGCCCCACAAGCGCTGGGTGTGATCGGGCCCATACTTCATCAGCACGATGTCGTTGCTGCCGGTCTGCTTTGGGAACAGGGCGCCGTCCGTGTATGCGAGAACAAACGTGGCGCCTTCAGCGTCGGTCACAACGTCAATGCCCCTCTCATTCGAGTTTGGCACACCAAACTGCGTGTAAACGTCCTGAGCGCGTGTCATTGTTGCATGAACAAGAACCACCGCGCAAAGTGCCACCACCAGCCTCATGCCGCTGTGCATCATGGTGCGTGTGCGTACAACAGTACAACAGAGCCTAAGAGCGTGTGGGTGTGTTAGTGTGTTGTCTTGTTGCTTGCTTGATTGCTTGATTGATGCTTGCCAAACGTGCGCTGCGTGTCGAATTGGTCAACACACGGGGCAAAACAGGCAATGGAAAATTAGTGATCATCTTCAACAACTTATCCCCAAGCCGCACAACCCCAAAACACCAACAGCGACGATGGCGTGTTGTGCTGCTTGGAGCGCTGTTGCGCTGCTGGTGGTGGCTCTGCTTGCACCACACACAAGCGCCTACAACAATGGCGTTGGGCGCCTGCCTCCAATGTGTGTGTGTATGTGTGTGTGTGTGTGTGGTGATGGGAAGAGGGAATGTGTGTGGTATTGCCGTGCTGGCTTGCGCGCTGGCTTGTTTGCTTTGTTGTTGTTGGTTTGTTGACAACTTATGTGCCTGCATGCGCTGTTTGCACATGCTGCAGGGGCTGGAACACGTGGTGCACGGACGATGCATGCGGTGCACTGGATTACTGCAGCGAGAAGGAGGTCAAGTCTGTTGCCGATGGCATTGTGGATCAAGGCCTCGACAAGCTCGGCTATCGCTACATCAGCCTGTGCGTGCGCCTTGTTTGTGCTTGTCTGTGTTTGTTTGGTTGCGTGTGCGTCTGTTAGTTGGTTCTATGTGTGTGCATGTGTGTGTTTGTGCTTGTGTGTGTGTGCGTGCGTGCGTGCGCGCGCGCGTGTGTGTATGTGTGTGTGTGTATGTGTGTATGTGTGTGTGTGTGTGGCATGGGGGCGCGAGTGATTTCGTTGCGAGTGCACGATTCTTTGCGGCTGCTTCCACGAACCAACTGTGTGATCTGCCGCATGTGCTGCCCTCATATGGTCTTGTTTAGGGACGATTGCTGGTCGGCCCACACGCGGAATGCCACTGGCCACCTGCAGCCCAACCCAGTCCTTTTCCCAAGTGGCATGAAGGCACTCGCAGACTACATCCACAGCAAGGGCCTCTACATCGGCCTCTACACTTGCATCGGCACTGAGGTGTGTGAACGTTTGACAACATGTGAACACGTGTGAAAATGTGTATTTGTGTGCGTGTGCGTGTGCGTGTGGATTTTTGTGCGCGCGTGCGTGTATGTGTATGTGTGCATGTGCATGTGCATGTGTAGGTGTACATGAATTTGTTTGTGTGTTTGTGCGCGCGTGCGTGTGTGTGGAGGAGGGGGGATGTGCTGCCATCAGCTTGCTGCTGCGTACACATGCGCTGATGCACACAACATGTGGCCATGTGCAGACGTGCCGCCGCCACCGCCCAGGCTCGTACGGCCACTACGAGAAGGATGCCAACACCCTGGCGGAGTGGGGCATTGACCTCGTCAAGACAGACAACTGCAACAGGTACCATGACGGTGATGATGACGGAAGCGGTGTTGGGGGGGGGGGGTGGGGGTGGGGGTGGTGTACGTGTATGTAGACCGTGGCAGTTGTGGCTGCTCGCAGCGCTTGGTCACATGCGAACACACGCTCGTGCTTCATGCACACCACCATCATCATCACCACCACCGTCACCACCATCATCACGATCATCATCACCGCGACCGCCAGGCCGAAGAACGAGACGGAGGAGGAGCAGTTTACGGCACTCTCCAACGCCCTCAATGCAACCGGCCGCCCCATCCTCTTCTCCCTCTGCGAGTCAGTCTTATTTTCGCGTTTCTGTGGTGTGTGTGTGTGTGTGTGCTTGTATATGTACTTGCATGTTTCTGTGTGTGTGTGTGTGTGTGTGTGTGCGTGGTTGTGCGTGTGTGTGCGCGTGTGTGCGTAGTTGTGTGTGTGTGTATGTGTGTGTGTGTGTGTGTGCATGCGTGCTTTGCGCTTGCTTCCACTTGGCCCACCACTGCCCGCCATGTGTGCTGACGCGTGCGTGTGCGTGTGCTGGCAGGTGGGGCGAGGACACTGTGGAGGACTGGGGGTTCAAGATCTCGCAGATGTGGCGCATCCAGGTACGTACTGCAGGGAGGGAGGAGGCATACGCCCATTCCAAGAGATGCAGATGCTGAAATACACACACACACACGCACACACACACACACACACACACACACACACACACACACACACACACACACACACACACACACACACACACACACACA